CACTGATGTTCCCGCCTTCCCACTCCATCAGGGTAGCAATATAGACAGCAGTGTCTGCAGGGCAGTTCTACCCCACCACACATGCTACTACTGGAGAGGCAACTGAATACCTCCGATCGCAAATATGCAGTTACACTTTAGGGAGAGGGAAACCACCAATATCCTTGCTCTCTGGAACATGGAGCCTATTTTTGTTTAACATGCTGTTCAGTGCAGTTGGCATTAGCTTGTTTTGCACTACAGTCTGATCAAGTGGGTCCATCCGTAGACACTGTTAAGCTGGCCTTTCGGTCCATTTTTGGGGGAAGAAAAATAATCCTCATAGATTCTGTGAACTGAATGAAGAATTAGTGGACCATCCAGCTGAAAATGATCGAGAAGTCACTGGGCCCAGACTTGAGAACAGGCCAATTCAAAAAAGAATCCCCCCACATCTTACCCAAGTCTGTCTGCAACTGCCTTATCTCCCCACTCTCTATGATACTTGTCAATCAGGACAGTAGGAAAGGGAGTGAATGGACTAAGTCTCTGTTTATCTGAGGTGTGCAGGACTGCATTTCTGCTCAACCCCTTCCCCCCCCTTCCCCCAGATGCTATTACATTTCCTATTGGTACCTGACAAAGAGCCTTATGATTCACAGCGATACATACCAATGTGGCACATGTACTGTGGAAAAGAAAGAGGACCAGGAGAGACTATAGCCGGATAAACTTTGTACTCCCAACAATGAAAAGTGATTGCCATCTTAGCTCTGCTTCCATGCAGGAGAACAGCTGTAAATGTTCATCCCAGGTTTTGAGCACATCCAGTGTTGTGGGTCTTTCCCCCCGCTTCGGGATGGAGCATGTAAAAGGTTTGTTGCTAAAATCACCTCTTGCAGGCATTAAACAGTCTGGACTAGCCTTCCTTGTGCCCACAATGCCTATCAGCTCCAGTCGGCATGGCCAGGGATGATGGGAGTTGTAGTCGAAAACATCTGGACAGCACCAGGTTGGGGGAAGCTAGTCTAGAATGTAGTAATCTCTGTATGTAGGGCAAAACTGATTAGAAGCTAAAGGAGGCCCAGAATACTGATGATGAGTATCCCCTGCCCATTGTTTTAGAATCCCCCCCCCCAATATTATCAAAATTCATTTGGCTCTTCCAGAAATTAGAGGAACTGCTCCTTTTCACTCCAAAGAGAATGAAATGATATCATTACACACTAAAAGAAAATAGAAAAAAGGGGGGAGGAAAAAGAGAGAGATAAAGGTAAAGGACACCTGGATGGTTAAGTCCAGTCAAAGGCAACTATGGGGTTGTGGCACTCATGAATTGTGGCTACACATTGGTTTCCACCACCCTCTGAACATATATAAAGATTGATGGCCATATATTTACTCTCACTAGAAGTTGTGGTGGCCACCAACACGTACAATTTTAATAATAATAATAATAATAATAATAATAATAATAATAATATACCACCCATCTGACCGGGTTGCCCCAGTCACTCTGGGAGGCTCCCAACAAAATATAAAAGCACAGTGAGATATCAAACAATAAAACTTCCCTATACAGGAAAAAGGGAAGTGCTTGCAGGTTTCCCTTCGGCATCTGGTTGGCCACTGTGAGAATCAGTCTGCGCAGGGTACATCCTAGAAATACTTCTGCATCTGCCCCCAAACCAGAATGCGACTTCCTTTTTCATGTTTCACATAGTTCCCCAAAACACTCACCAGACACTGTGGAAATTCAAAATGCACCACACATCAATTGAATACCTTAACCAGGAAAAGCCTGGGTGAACAGGTGAGTTTTATGCCAGGACCTAAGTGCCAAAACTTTCATTTGGGAGAAAGAGTGGGATATATAATGTGGTTTAATAGGAGCACATTTCAAAGGGTGGTGGCTACCAGACTAAAGGCCGTGGTCTAGTATAAGATGATCCTTTGGAGGAGACAATACAGTCAAACCTCAGTTCCCGAATGCCTCTGTCATTGTACTATCCAGAACTAACTGCTCCAGTTGTCAAACTGTTTTCCTATTGTATTGAGGTATCTGCTTTCAGTTTTCGGTTGTCGAACGTTTCAGAAGTCAAAGAGTCTTCCAGAATGGATTACATACGACAACCGAGGTTTGACTGTACTACGAAAAGTGTGACTTGAAAATTAAACGATTTAATGTGAGCATCTGAGAGATGTGTGGCAAATGAACACATGCCACCCATGACCATTCTGAATCAGGCTGGAAGGAGTTGGTAGGCCTCTCTCACTGATCGGCCACTGCCTGTACATGGCTAGCGATGTTGACAGTCCACACATTCAGGTGTCCCATCCTGTGCCAGTGGTGAGTTTAATTGTAAACTGTGTGAAGAAGTACTCTGTTCTGGTTTCCTTCCCCTCTGTCTGTGTTGCTAGTCCATGTCATCCATGTATGGAGCCCTCCTCTCTACAGTCTTGAAAACCTTGTCTGGCGTGTTCTTCTCTGGCCCCAAAGGCTTGTTATACTATTTGATAAATTTGGGGCATTAGTGCAGCTCACACCTCCATCCAAGGAAGCCTGCAAATGGGGATTGGCACCAAGTGAGTGATTGGCAGTGGTGATGAATTCTTATTGTGTCGAGAATTTTTCGGCATGACATTTATTGGTAAACCCGTCCAAAATAATCCCCGTTCAGACCTGCCAGATTTGCTGCAAAGTGATGTGCTCCCGTTGCACATTGCCAGAAGAATAATGATTGATGCCCGCTGCCAATCAGTGTGAAGAATCAGTCAACTCCTTCCTGTCATTTCAAACTAAGACCGTATGGCTAGTTTTTACAAATTTCAGAGGGGGTGGGGAAGAGTAAATGCTGAGTTTTAATGCATGTATGAGCTACCTGGGCTGGGTACCCAATGTCAGCAATAATTATTGCTACAAGTGAAAAGGTGCTAAACCTAAGCGTCCTAATGGTAAGCAATGTCCAGCAGGAGAAAAGATGGACTCTTCCATTGCTGAAGACTTTTATGCAGAGAAACGACCATTGTTGAGGAGTTCTGTAGTTGCAAGATCCTTGTGCTGAGCAGGTTGGTATCTTATATGGCCCCTAGGGTACCTTCCAACTATACAAATTGTATGATTCCAAATTTGAGATAGAACGGAAGAGAAATGGAGAGCTCCAAGGGAGGACCAGGACAGATGGGGGAGTAATTTGGAGGATTCACTTCCTGAAGTGAAATCACCTCATCCTGGACCAAGGAACAGATCAGATTGTGACCTGCTGCTAAAATCTGCATCTCACTGAATCCGCCATGAAGCAATCTGAGGTATTTACTTTTTTTCTTTAGCTGCCTGGAATGGCTTATAAGTATGATGGCTGCCACACAGGCTGAAGATGGAGTTTGATGGCAGCCCTCCACTGCATACAGAATGGATGCCATGATCTCCTGATCTGGCCCTGTTTTTCAGCCCAGGGGAAGAGTGTCACTTGTGATTTAGTCCAAGTGCTGGTGATACTCCTCTGATAATGTCTGAGCATTCTGGTCAGCACTCCAGAAATTCTCACATGAATATATTTTATTAACACTTCAGTTAAGCATCCCAAGTCCACTTAGGAGGTCTTTGTTTTACTGCCAATGGATGGAGACTTGTTTGCTGTAACTTCTGAAACTCTGTGTGTAAAAACCTTCACTTATTTGCAAAGCCAAGTGTCTGTGATTTATTCTAGCCTAAGTATTTTCACGGGGATCTAGCCAAGTTTTAATGTGCTTGGAGCAATCACCATTGTTCTTAAGTCTGCTATGAGAAAGTAAGGATCTGTCTACCAAACTCTCTCCAACAGTTTCTAGAGGTGAAGCATGTTCCCTACTATTGAGCAATGGTCTCTTTTTCTTTTGAAGGAAGAGGCTCTCTGTAAGACGTAGTTAGAAGCAGACCATGGTAATTTCCCCCTTCGCAACTGGTCATCTGCATTCAATCCCCATCCCCAACTATACGCTAGTTGTACTTTGCCCTCCTACTCTACTCACAACCGCAGTTTTTTAGCTATGCTGAAAATGCTTCTGTGGATCTGCATACATATTCTACAAGGCCAGTTGCATATTAAATTCCACATTCAATTCATCTATTATAGGTCAATAGTGTTTTCCTTCTCCTTACACCGCCAAAAATAATAATCGTCTGTAAACCATGTTGATGCTGTCCAGCTCTTTTTTATTTTTATTTTTTATTTTACAAAACAAAGAACATCCTGTTAGACGAAGGCTAATCTGCAGTAACCAGAAGTTGATCTTCTTTCGTCCAATATGAAAAGATTTATTTTTCCATTGTTGAGCTACGCTTTGACTGAGTTCACATGGCTAACTCCTGCATTATAATGGTGGCTATTTTGTTAGCACACAGTGTGCCAATTAAAACATCTGAAGGTCCCAGCCATCATGTTTGTGGAGGTGTGGGGAGAAAACGCTGCATTGATTTATTATCAATGACATGGAAATTGTTGTCATTCTGCTTCTTGTCACCCCCTTCCAGACTCCTTCCACTGTCATGGTTGTTGTTTTTTAAGCGCCTAAATGGAAATAGATGACGTGAAAAGAATGGATTGGCATTTAAATTAAACATTTCTAAATGCCAACAGCTCTGACTTTCCTCATATGAAACAAGTTTCAACATTAAAAAAAAAAAGTCATGGATTTGTGAAATGCAAGTTTGTCCCCAAATCGTCACAAAACAATATCTATTTACTGGTTCTTTTTAGGGTAAGGTGTGGGGGAGGGCTAGAGCTCAGTGGAAGCAGAGGTTGGCACAACCAGTGTGGTGGCACTATGAGCCATGCTACAGGGGGCACCACAACAAAGCTGTAGAACGGAGCATGAGAGACAGGGGGCGCCAAATTTTAGTGTCACACAGGATGCTGCTGAAATTTGAGAGGCCCAAGTCTGCCACTGGAGACTTTGTGTTCAGAAGGTCCCAAGTTTGATTCTCCAGGTAACCCAGAGGGAGACCCCTGTCTGAAACCCTGGAGAGCCACAGTGAGCCACGTCCTATAGTACAATGGATCAGTGTGTTTGGCTGTTAACCAGAAGGTTGGTTGTTTGACCCCACCTAGGGATGGCTGTGGGCAGGATTCCTGCAATGCAGGTGGTTGGACTAAATTACCCTTTGAGTTCCTTCCAACTCTACCACTCCATGATTCTAAGTCTATGTAGAGAATATTGAACCATATCATTCATTGGCCTGACTCTGTGTGAAGCAGCTTCCAATGTTTCTATGCTAGATCAAGATCAAAACCTGGAATATAATTACCAGCTGAGGGTCCTTGAGATGTTGAGTAGGCAAAGCCAGATGGTCAAAACCTTAGAGTTGTTAGTTTAACTCAGGCCTCAGTAAATTAATGGGACAAGTAGGGATGCCAGCAAATTCAGCCAGAAACAAGAGGAGGAAGAGAAATTTCTGCAGTTTGCATGCTCATCCGACATCGGGAACAGAAATCAAGAAAGCAAATGTGAGCAGTATTTACTATATTTGTTTGCTTGCTTGTTTACTCCAGAAACGTTATGTAAATAACTATGTTGTTTTCTGCATTGCTTTGACATTTCCCTTCCAAAGAAAAGAACTGAAATTAATCCTGCAATTAATGATGTAATTGTGTTAGTTTTGGCCATAGCAAAAAGTGAGATGAATAATGTAGCTTTGAACAGAAGCAGAACTGTAGCAGAACAGAAGCAGCACTGATTGCAATGTACACGGGACTTGATAGAAATCCTTGCCTCCTTACATCCCTAGGCGTGACTAAGTACAGGAAGTCGTCATAAATTCCCAGTATTTCAAACTGGGGCTGCTGCCAGCTGAACTAGAAGGTGAGTGTGGGCCCAACATTTGAGGACTGGGGCCCAGGTCACATGACTGAGCAAAACTGAGCCTCTCTGCACCCCTTCCACACACACACACACACCATGTTCCCTTTTTGGACTTTATGTCATAAATTCTGCTGCTTTAAATTCTGCTGGCTGTGCCCCAGGCTGGGGGACTTGCACCAGCATAGCTCTGGATCATGGGTAGGCAAACTAAGGCCAGGGGGCTGGATCCAGCCCAAACACCTTCTAAATCCAGCCCGCAGATGGTCCAGGAATCAGTGTGTTTTTACATGAGCAGAATGTGTGCTTTTATTTAAAATGCATCTCTGGGTTATTTGTGGGGCATAGGAATTCGTTCATTTTTTCCCTTTCAAATTATAGTCCGGCCCCCCACAAGGTCTGAGGGACAGTGGACCAGCCACCTGCTGAAAAAGTTTGCTGACCCCTGCTCTGGATCATCCAGGAAAGCCCATACCCACCTTTCATCTCAGTGGATCTTGAGCTTGAATTGTGATTAGTGAACTCCTGTTAATTCCAATAGGAGCACAATTCAATTAACATAGTTTGTAAGACACAATCCCTTGTGTTCACGCCTTAGTTTGGACCCAAACCTCAATTTTACTGGACTTAACCAATCCAGGATTTCAGACTGCCTTGTGATCACAGTGGTCAGATTCTTATGTCCCCACTCCTTAGTGTGCTTGCAGAAATATGTGGTAGCTCACATGGCCAGGTTCCAGCCTCAGACCCTAACATTTTTTGTTCAAGCTCTGGGTACCCAAGAATTCTACAAATTGAAAACTCCACCATTTTACTAGTTACTTTGATTGCAGGGGCTTCTCTGTTCACTAAAGCGGAGAGCTTCACATCCACAGAGCTGCCCTTACATTGAAGTGACAAGTCTTGTATGCCAGAGCATAGGTGGACGTTGGTTGACTGTATTAGTTTGTTGCAAAGTGGATTGTTTTTCATCGGTGAACTAACAACAAACAAAGCAGACCCCCAAATTATCAAGTTTCACTCTATGAGTTTTCAATAGCAACCAATCTCGAGAACTGCATATATCTGCCCCTAGACAGCTGCATTATGGAGCTAAAGAAACTGCATCTAAATTCATGAGCCGATAAAATGTAATCTGGCTGAAGGCTTACGCGTGTGCGCACACACACACGCACACATGCAATCACACCCCCTTGATTTACAAATGTTCCATAGCCTCTCAAACTGCTTCTGAGTTACTGGCATTATTTGAAATAATGACACAATAAAACACACTTTAAAAGACAAACCCATCACTTACTTACTTCTCGTCCAAAGAAATGTCTCAGAAATTTTTTAAGAACATAATTGATGGGAGACTAGATTTCATAGACCATCAAAAACCTGGAAAGGCTTTAATAAACTAGGAAAATTAAACTCACTCTGGCTTACTAGCAGATCTACAGCTTGCTTTCTTAGGGAACGCAATTTTGTAATTGCATGCAGTGCATTAGCAAAGACCAGGTTCCTTTTAAGGTGATGTGGTGGCCTCGGAATTAACTCAGTGCTAGAGTGTGTGTTTTGCATCGGGGAAGTCTGTGGTTCAATTGGTGGCATCTACATCCAGTTAAAAGATCTCAGGACCTAGAAATCTCTAGAATCTTCTACCAACCAAAGCAGATGATGCTGAACCAATAATCGAATCAATATAATGGAGGTTGCATCTATGGAAACAATTTCACTAAACTTAATCCTCCCTTTGCTTTGGCAACCTTAGCAGGGTGCAGTGGTGCTGTGGCAAGCCTTGGAACAAGGCAAGTAATGCAATGCCAATGTCATGATGCACATTGCATCTGCGTAAGAACTTAAGAGCCCTGCTAGATCAGGTGAAAGGCCTAATCCAGCATTCTGTTCACACAGTGGCCAAACCAAAGCCTATATGAGGCCTGCAAACAGGATCTGAGCATAGCAGCACTCTCACCACTTGCAACTTACATCAACTGTTGTATAAAAGCATATCTTCAACATTGGAGGGAGTACATAGCTGTCATGGCTAGTAACCTTTGAAGCCTCGTCCTTTGTGAATCTATCTAATCTTATGTTAAAGCCATCCACATTGGTGGCCATTGCTAAGAGAGGGGTGAATTAATAGTTTAACAATGTATGACAAGAAAAATTGTTTTCATTTGTCTGTCCTGAAACTTCCAGCATTAAGCTTCAATGTGCAGCAAATATTCCAATTTCTACACATTTTTTTGGCTGGTTTAATTGGACCTGGCTCCATAGCTAATTCTTTTATTCATGATTTATATTGTCACAATGCCACCCAGTTAAACTTATTAAATTTGGAATAAAAGACATGTTTTTGCTTTTGTGACATTCTTCGGAGACAGACCAAACACACAGTCTATCATCAGTGCACTCCTCCCTATCTTGAACTAAGAGCTGTGCCTCCTGACATAAAACGTTGACATGTCCAACCCACATGGCCACCACAAGCTTCGTTGCCCAGGTCTTTCAGCTAGAGAAGGTATGAAGAATCTGTGGCTCTCCAAATGTTCTTAGGCTGCTCTCATCATCCTTGGTCCTTGGTCATGCTGGCTGGGGGTGATTTATGCTGTAAGCCTACAACATCTGGAGGACCACAAATTTTCCATTCCTGTTAATGAGGAGTGAAACTCTCTGTCTTAAAGGAGTTAAACACAATGAATGAAGACTATGCATACTACTAGGGACACAGATGGTGCTGGGGGCTAAACCACAGAGCCTAGGACTTGCCGATCAGAAGGTCAGCGGTTCGAATCCCCACGATGGGGTGAGTTCCCGTTGTTCGGTCCCTGCTCCTGCCAACCTAGCAGTTCGAAAGCATGTCAAAGTGCAAGTAGATAAATAGGTAGTGCTCCGGCGGGAAGGTAAACTGCGTTTCTGTGCGCTGCTCTGGTTCGCCAGAAGCGGCTTAGTCATGCTGGCCACATGACCCAAAAGCTGGACGCCGGCTCCCTCGGCCAATAAAGCGAGATGAGCGCTGCAACCCCAGAGTTGGTCACGACTGGCCCTAATGGTCAGGGGTCCCTTTACCTTTACCTTTATGCATACTACCACATCATTTAAATCAGAATGGGTATTTGGCCATCCTAGTAGAAATGTACCTTCCGTCCATGGAGTCTACTTGTGCTGTGCCATTGAAGATGCTCTGGAATGACAATCAAGCTTTTCATGAGATTCTGATGAAGTCCAACTGCACAGATGGGGGGACACAGCCTTAGGATTCAGGAGACCGGAAGCCTTTCTCTTAATTTCAGTAACACAAAGACTTTGAACAAAACATGACATCTTTGCCACTCGAGTTAACATTTCTTTAAAAAAGATAATAATATGACACTGAAGGCAACACTACACAGCTGTGTGGTACCTACATAATTGAGGCTTTGAAACATCAAAGAGACGACATCTTCAAACACTTGAATAGCTTTATTTGAAAGATTCCTTTTCACAACAAAATATGGACTCTGCCGTTGCAGATCAATGGATCTCTCAGAAACACAGTGTCCCCACTTTAAGCTGAAACACTTGGGATGTTTACATGATATTGACCGTTTGCTTCTGGACTACAAATCAGGATTTTATCAAATGCATGATCCCATCGCTCTTTGCAGAATTAAGTATGATATTCCAGGCAATGAAGAATAAGTTATTGTCACCATGATGACAATTTCCCTAAGATTACAGTGAATGCTTAAAAAAACAACTTTGCTTCAAACTATTTGCTCTGAATGAAACACTCAGCAGTACCTTACCTGATTAGGTTCCCTTGGGAAGAAGGATTGATTGTTAAACTGCCCAGGGAATTGTAGCCCTGGGCAGAGAATAGGGGTCTCCTAACAACTCCTAGCCTCCTTAAAAAACTGCCATTCCCAGGAGTCTTTGGGGGTAGCAATGAATGTTTAAAGCCCATGATACTACTTTACATGTATAGTGCAGATGCAGCCCAAGATCCATGCATCTGCCATGTGTTTACTAGCTGAATTTGGGCAAGTCATTTGGAACTTCAGTCCCTATCTGTAATAAGAGGAGAAAAATACAGCCGTACTTTGGAAGTCGAACGGAATCCGTTCCAGAAGTCAACTTCCAAAATGTTCGAAAACCAAAGCACGGCTTCTGATTGCCTGCAGGAAGCTCCTGCAGCCAATCAGAAGCCACAGAAGCCTCATCAGATGTTCGGCTTTCAAAAACAGTTCACAAACCGGAACAGTCACTTCTGGGTCTGCAGCGTTTGGGAGCCAAAACATTCAAGAACTATGCTGTTCAAAAACCAAGGTACGACTATACTGGATTGGTTCCAGACAGGATGCAATCCTCAGCACACCTGCTGCCCAGTGAGTCTAAACCAGGCTTCCTCAACCTCGGCCCTCCAGATGTTTTGAGACTACAATTCCCATCATCCCTGACCACTGGTTCTGCTAGCAAGGGAGTTGTAGGCCAAAAACATCTGGAGGGCTGAGAATGAGGAAGCCTGGTCTAAACAGAAAAGCAGGCCATTTTGAAAACTGCAGCTCTGTCACACACACTGACTGGAATGGAAATTGGGTGGGAAAGGCTAATAATAATAATAATAGTAATAATAATAATAATTTGTATACTGCCCTTCATTTGAGGATCACAAGGTAGTTCACAACATAGAAATACAACATGTTGGCCCTAAAAAAAGGTACAAAAATGTATTACCAAACATATTTTACAATATGATTAGAAATGTGTTTATTGAGATAAAATACATATTTATGTATTTTGTGGAGGAACCCCCAACTAAGTATGCATTTAAATGCAGCGAATAATACAATGTTTTTTTTAAAAAGCATGTGAAATTGACCAAAGATATCCATGCCTACACATGAGTAAGACTTCAATCCTAACCCTTTACCTGAGAGTAAGGCCCACTGCATTCAATAGTAGACATGGTTAGCATTGTGCTATGAGCCCAAATTCAACCCAATGGCTTAACATACATGGTTGTTGTTAAGGATGACAATTAGATAATGCATGTGATATTTGTTATAATGCTTCATAGGAAAAATAGAAATGTTAAGTTTTAAAAACAGGTCAGAGAGCAGACTACAGATTAAAGGCTGTAATGTTGTTATTGACTTTAGTCACCCAGTCTGTAGCTAACTGACCTCAGGTCAGGAACAGCTACAACTCAATGCATCAATCTGCTTCCCCAGCAGATATTACAAAATGGGTCTTTGAAATTTGCTGGATTACCAGTAAAGACCTCTGCCGATTCACACCTTGTCTCTACCCAGTGAATCCCAATTTTTGAAGAAGTCTTATATCTGCTAAAAACAAGTGAACACCCTCATATCTGAACATCTCTAACATTTTGAGATCATGGGAGCTTGGGGGTGAGATTGTCTACTTTTGTCTTTATTTGGAGCAGATAGGAGATGGTTGAAAAATGGTCTCATAACCTTCAGCCAAAAGTATCATAACTTTCTGCCTGCACCTCTGTTGCACCAGTTGTTCAGGCACTAGGAAAAAATATGACCTCAATATTGCCATCTCACCACTGCCTCATCCCAGAATTGATACCTTTGTGCCCTCAACTGCAGTGATGTGCCATTAAAATCCAACTCCAATACCATTATGTTGCTATTAGAAAAGACTGCCACAGAGCTCAGTTTTTCAAATAAATATAAATTGTGAAGGGTTGAAGAGTGAAGTGGCCTCGGGTGACCTCGAGAAGGAGATTCAAGCATCCGTTCAGAATGTTCAAGCTCCTCACTCTGCAACCAATTTTGAGAAACGTATTGGCTGAAAGAGCCACAGAGCATGTCATGTGGACCTGGCCCCAAATGCAGTCACAATAGGATGATGTGGTTTTCGTAGAGAAGGAATGGCTCAATGATGTGCTCTGACTCCTCGCAATAGCAGCATGAGTGAACCATCCTGAGATGTGTGGATGAAGGGCAATATACAGATTTAATAAATATTATTAATAATAATGGCACCAATTTCAAGAATATTTGGTGCTGAGCTTCCAAAACTTGCTCCACTGAGACCATGAGAAGACAGAGAAAGAAGATGCTATTCTAGGCTGCATCAACAAATGTCTAGTGTCTAGATCAAGGGAAATAATAGTACCACTATATCCTGCCTTGGTCAGGCTACACCTGGAGTACTGTATCTAGTTCTGGGCACCGCAATTTAAAAAGCATATTGAGAAGATGGAACGTGCGCAGGGGAGAGTGACCAAGATGATCAAAGGTCTGAAAACCAGGCCTTATGAGGAATGGTCGAGGGAGTTGGCTATGTTTAGCACGGAAAAAAGGAGACTGAGAGGAGATATGATAGTCATCTTCAAGTAGCTAAAATACTTTCCTATGGGAGCTTTTCTTCTCCTGCTCCAGAGATAGGACAACAAACAAAGTTACAGGAAAGGAGATTCCGACTAAACATTCGGAAGAACTTTCTGACAGTAAGAGCTGTTTGACAGTGGAATGGACTCCCTCAGGAGGTGGTGGACTTCTCCTTCCTTGGAGGTTTTTAAGCAGAGGCTGGGTGGCCATTACAAAGAGTTGGACTAGATGACCAGATTCCCCATTCTCATCCTTTTAAATGATGATGTCAGGAACAGGGGGAATTGCCTTATACCAAGTCAGAACATTGCAGAACTTGAATAAAATATTGGGGGATAATCAATCACATGACACAGCACACACAACATCTGAATGGCAACACCCATCATATTTGGGGGTCGGGCACCCCCTCAAACATTTTATTGGGTGTGTGTGTGTGAAGGGACCTCAGCCCCTAGGAGTTGGCACCTATGGACCACTGGCAAATCTAAATGATTATTGTTTACACTAAGGAAACCTGTGATGCTGTTGGACCTAACAACCACATCTTACATTGAAAGCATATTTAAAGGAGATGGCTTGACCAAAAAGATCCTGGGAAGAAAGGAGATTCTGGCTGAACATTAGGAAGATCTTTCTGACAGTAAGAGCTGCATGACAAAATAGCTTTCTGAGAAAATAGAACTGCAACACCTTTGAAATCAACACCTATATGAATTTTGTTATGCGGTTCTCTATTCAACCTATGTTTACAAAAACACATACCTATATTGGGGGAAAGTATGCATAAAAATGAATGTGTTAGTAATAATTGCATACAAAATGCATCGCAACAGGGAAAACTGCTTGCAAAAATGTGTTAATTGAGACATATTCATGCTAAAATGCTGGTTTTAAAAAAAATCGCTGCAGAAATGTGGAGACTGGAATTTAAGACTGTGGGAAAAATAAGAAATGGGGGGACACCAAAATTGACATACCATTCCATGCCTACTTCCAGATTATGGACCGACAACATGTATCCCATTGTTGACCCAGCTGCAGACGTTGGAGCTCATGTATTTCTCACAGAAAGCAAGCAGAATATTAAAAACCCAGAAGCTGGCAAGAAAAGTGTAAGGCACATGCAAACCCTTTGTTTTGCCTTTAAATTAAAATAAAAATTAAACCCAAATAGCATGTAATTGATTTTAATGTAGCTTTTTAAAAAATGGGTGATGGGGAAAAGAAGGTCTTTTTCAGCAAATATACTATTGATTAACTGATATTTAGACTCTGGAGGCATCACTTTTCATAGTGCACCATAAGCATTTAAAAATACTACAAGGAATTAATTGCATGAACCCCCCCTCCCTTTTTTCTGGCACTGTGCTCTGAGATGGCTTATCAGGTTTTTTTTATTAATATTAATGAGCAGAATTAGCACCAAAGATCAGGGATCCGTGATAGCTCGAAGAACCTGCAAAGACCCCATGGCCTCCTACGGTTTATTATTTTTTAATCAAAATAGCTGACTTGAAGGCAGGGAAATGAAAGAACTGAGTCTTTTTATGATTCTACAACGATTCAAATTAAAATGATCTATACTTGCATAATTCCAACAAACCATTTTGTGCTAGTTAAAAACAGTTAAAATGGCATAAAGGCATGATTTAAGGGCTGTCGTGCTTGCTTCTTAATGAATGGTTTATTTTATGTGGCATTCTCCGCTCTCCCATACAGACAAGCAGAGGCATGACCACAGATCACGATGATCACAGAATCATAGGATTATAGAGTTGGAAGTGAACTAAGGATCATCTAGTCCAACCCACCACAGTGTAGGAATTACAGCTCAAGAAATATACTTGAAGATAGCTATGTTCTGCAACCATTGTCTATGTCCTACCTCCTCTGTTGGAGGCAGTATGCCTCTGAATGCCAGTAGTTCGGAAAGACAAGTGGAGAGAGCGCTGTTCAACTCAGGTTGTGCTTGTGTGTTTCCCATTTGAGGACGTGAGATGACAAAAGCAGGACCTGGGTTCAACAGCACTCTTTCCACTGGTCATTCACAGAAACTGGCATTCAGAGGCATATTGGTTCCAGCAGAGGAGGCAGAACATAGCTATCTTCTACAAGCATTGTCTATACCCACTGGGGCATCCGATTGGCCACTGTGAAAATAGGATGCCAGACATGATGGACCATTGGCCTGACCCAGCTTCAGTGTACTTCTTGTGGGAAGTGAAACACAAGAGCAGTCAAGTACAACATTCCTAGAGTGAACATGTTTACACATGGGGAGGAATGTTTGTCCAGCCAGCAGGTAAACTTCCTGTTTCCTTCTGGGCTGGGACACACTTCCTCTGCATGTGACTAGAGGTGGGTGTGGCCTCACCTGTGCAGGTAATGACAAAAGCACAGGGCAGGGCAGCCATCTCTCTTTCTCTGACTACATGCATCAGAGAAGCAACATCTGCTTAGCCAAAGATGCTCTCTTGGCTTCCAGCCAAGAGAGGACAAAGGGACTGTCTCCTTATGAGATAGTTTCCAGATGTATGTAAGTTTTCTAAGCAAAGTCTGCCTTCTGGGATCTGATTGTGAACAGAATGTGAGTAAACTCTTTTTATACTTTTATAGAAGACTGTGTCGTGTCTTATCTTTTATGAGGGAATAAGGGGGAAATACCAGAGCAGTTATTATAGAGGCTTTAGCAAGCCTGAGCTAAAGCATCCGCTGCAAGTTTATAAAGGGGAATGTTACTCTGCTAAATTGTGAGCTTGTTAACACAAGTTGGAAAGGCTATAACCAAACAATATATCCTCCCTGCATCCTTGAACATTCCCACACTTCTTATGTTCTTAAATTTGGGTGGTGGAGCAGGTAGTGAACCCAGATGGGGATTTGAACCCTGGTCTCCCAGGTCCTAGCCCGACTTTAACCACTACACCACACTGGCTTAAACTCTTATTTTGGGGATAGGGAACCTCAGGCTATTTTCATTCCTCAGTATTATGTTCTCACCTGAGGGCTGGGTGCCCAATGTGGCCCTCCAGGCTTCTCTAGTTGACCCTTGGAGCCCTCTATAGGGCACTCGAGTATTTTTTGCATGGTTGAAAACTCCCCTTGAACTCTAATGCCTTTTGCTTCTCTGAATGAAGGATTGAAGAGTGTGCGTAGAAACCAGTCTACAGTGATACAATTTCAATTTGATGTTTTGCCCACTTTTGCCTCTAGCCCCACTAACTACTGGACTATGGCCCTCAGAAGAGAATGTAGCCCTCAGGTTAAAGGATGCTGTTCCCCCCTGCTTCACAATCCTAATAAGTGCAAACCTGGAAGTGTTGCCTAGATCCCAGGTATGGATAATTGTGTGTGTGTGTGTGTGTGTGTGTGTGTGTGTGTGTTACAGCATCTTTTATCTTACTTTTCCCCTTGTCCAGACATGCTTTTTTTATATGCAGATTCTCAGCTCCCCATTTGAGGTATGTCAAAGTACATCAATCTTTATCGCTTTTCGACAAATTCTGAAAGAACACCAGCCATGGATTGCAAAGTGTGGTTCAAACACATACAACTGACCCATAATCCCCTCAACGTTGAAATACACTGCCATTGTGTTTTCAGAAGCTCTAAATCCATGGATCATCAATGAGGTGGATGGCACCATTTCTTCAAAGAGTTTGCAATCCATTGTATCACAGGAGGCATTTAAAGAAACAATGGATTTCTCAACATGGTGCAGCTTCAATTGCATACTAAACACCTTGGTCAGAGGTGTTCACACACACAAAAAAGATGAACGAATGCTAAGAATAGGGCTGTGCCATTTTTTTAACAGGGTTCAGTGTTGGGTGTGATGCGGCTTATATAGACTTTTAAAAAAAACACACAAAGGCTCATCATTCCATTTCATATGAGCATTTGTTATTGTGAAAATGAAATTGCAATAAATAAATAAATATTTGGCCGTTTTTGCATTACAGATTATTGCTATTTATTAATTTAAATACCACTACATGCCAAAAAGGTTTTAAAGCATTTTTTGGGGGAGGGAGAGGTATAAAAACCAGTTAGGCAAACTTTAAAATATAATGAATAATTAAAAATAGTAAAACAATCCCATAAAAATGTTAAAATATTAACATCCATAATTGAAATATACAATAAAACTGTTAATCATTTAAAACTGGAGACTCAGATCAAGGGAAAGCCTTTATAAACCAACTGAATGCCAATATAGATGGGGGTCTCTCGTATTTCAGTGTCATCAGTGGAAAAGTCTGCCTCTGCATCACCAGAAGCTGATAATCATCTGGCTGCAGTAAGACTAATTAATTCCCTATAGCACTCCAGTATTTTGGTATCTCATGTCCTGTCTGTCCTGAATTCCAATTAGGGTGCCTTTGTGGATAAACCAAACCCAGTACCCACCAGGTTGAGAGAGTGGAAAGCTGCTTGCCCCACATCCCAGCTCAGCAGGAGATACACCGGCATAAATCTCTTACCCTGGCTCAGTCAGGGTTCGGCTGATACCCAGGGCTCAGTCAGCCAGCTGAGCTGAAACCAGAAGGTTTTACATTGGTGTAAGCCCCGGAAAACAAGTATTCTGGGGGAGTGGTAGGGGCTGAAATGAGCAGGAGGACTTGCAATGGATCTTAAGTAGGCGTAGGTTCCATCAGTGTCCTACACTTGGGATTGCTCCATAAATACAGCATCTTACACTGCCCATGTAGAAGGTCCATGAGGTTGAAGATTGAAGGTGACGTGGAACATAGGAAGCTGCTTTCTAGTTCCCAGTTCTCCAAGATTTCAGACAGGGAGACCTTCCTAGTCCTACATGTTTTGCCTCCCCCGCCCCCAATAATATCATCATCATCATAATTAGTTAGGGGGGGATGCTTTTCTCATTATTTGATTAAGAATGGTTAGGGGTAAGTAAGAATAGAGGATAAATGTTCAGCAAAGCACTAATTAATGTTACTAGGATTGAATATTGTTAACTGACCTATTGGTATGTTTCATGGTCATATAAACTGTTGATGCATCTTAAACAAATTGCAGCTGCTGAAACCTCAGTGGTAAAATGGAAGTGTATACAGTGGTACCTCGGGTTAAGTACTTAATTCGTTCCGGAGGTCCGTACTTAACCTGAAACTGTTCTTAACCTGAAGCACCACTTTAGCTAATGGGGCCTCCTGCTGCTGCCGCGCCGCTGAAGCCCAATTTCTGTTCTTATCCTGAACAAAGTTCTTAACCTGAAGCACTATTTTTGGGTTAGTGGAGTGTGTAACCTGAAGCGTATGTAACCTGAAGCGTATGTAACCCGAGATACCACTGTATATATTTGATCTGGCTGTTGTACAATTGTACCTGTATTGTCTTCTGTAACTGCTTTTTGTACCATTAATTAATGGAAAATGCAGACCATTACTCAATAATCACATTAAGACACCCTCTCTCTCTTTTTTTGGAGGGTGCTGTTGTTTCTTCTTCCTGACACCCCACCCACTGCCCAATCCTTCCCTCTACCCTCTTGCCAGGGTTAGCTGCAAAGTAATATTAAAAAAGGAGCCCAGCCAATCAGGGATTGCACTTTGAGCATCAAAATGCTACATTTAACTTGCCCCACGCTGCAATTTAAATGAGATATGCAAACTTATTTGTATTTTAATTTTTTTTGCAAAATGTAGTGTGGGGGTTGGGGACAGAGAAGAGCTTTGTTTGTGGGGAGGGGAGGGGGAGCTGACAAAAATGTTGAGGAATAGTTTGTAGTTTCGCCTCAAGCCAAGTCGCTTAATATGTTCACAGCAAGCTCGCAGTCTTCAGGGATTAGTGGACAGAATGCACCCTAGCCCCTTTTTCTCTTTTCAGAAATTAACCACTGCCTCAGCTATTTCGGAGAAATCGGGCTTGCCTTTAAACTTTTCTAAACTGAAATAACGTAGCAGCAGCAGCAAGCAGCATGCATTCAGGAGCCGGGAGTATTATTTTAATTCTCAAAGGCATTACTACTTCCCATTATGGACTGTAATGGCAAGCAATTTTGTGTGTGTTATGTCAGATTGCTAGGCAGTGCAATTTGGGTAGTTTCATAGACTGATGGATTCGAAAGCCAAAAGGGACCATTATCAACATCTCGGGTGACCTCCCTTGTAACACAGGTCATAAAAATTCACCTAGTAATTTCTGGGTCAAGCCCAGACTGACCTCGAGGTTAAACTTTAGTAAAGCTGCTTTTTTTTTTTAAAGTTCCCTTTCCGAATTACAATAAAGGATTGTTCGGCTGCCGCTGTATAGCTGTTGTGTTTGCCTTTGCAAAATGGCCTCGGTGAACTGCCTTTTTAAAAAAAAAATCTGCAAAAGAAATTTGCTGTGGGACTGTGAGCATGATTGGAAAGCCTGAAGAGATTCCCCCCCCCTTTTTTTTCTTTTTGTCTCAGCTGGTGGATTTTTTGGCTGACCTACAATAGACATCCTCCCCACCCCCCGAATATATGAGTTTATAATGGAAACGCTGACATCTCCAGAAATGGCCCCAGTGGCCAATCCTCCGATACAGTCACATTATGCCAAGTTTGCAAAAATACATATTATTTAAAGGCTGGATTTACTGTTTGGCAGCCCACAAGCCCGGTAATACCTTGCATAAATGATTGTCTTTGGGTAACATTTGCATGCCTGTGTAACAATATGTAAATGCGACACTTTCCCTCTTGGAAAACTCTGAACTCCCTAATGAGCCAAAGGGCCAAACATGCAAATCAAGTCCATGATTCACGCCCCTGCCTCTCGTTTAATTTCTCCAAATGCATTTTGCATTCTGATTATGCTACCCAAAGAAAAAAGAAGGGGGGGAAATACAGGCAGAGCGGAGGGGGGAAATAGAAGGGCGCAGAGAACCGATTTCTCATATGAAAGAGTGTGATTTAGTTTAATCATCTGGGAACAGCAAACAATGGTGAACATAGGCTTCTGATGTCTCCCAGGTATGCAAAAGCTGTTTGTAAAAGAAAGTACACTTCCAGTAATGGCAGTGCTTAGGCAAGGGAGGGTTATCCATGGTGCAACTAGGTAAAATAAAAGGTAAAGGACCCCTGCACGGTTAAGTCCAGTCAAATGAGGCTGTTGGGCTGCAGCGCTCATCTTGCTTTCAGGCCGAGGGAGTCAGGGTTTTCCACAGACAGCTTTCTGGGTCATGTGGCCAGCAGGACTAAACCGCTTTTGGCACAACTGGACACTGTGATGGAAACCAGAGTGCACAAAAACACCATTTTCCTTCCTGCCGCAGCAGTACCTATTTACCTACTTGCACTGGCATGCTTTCAAGCTGCTAGGTTGGCAGGAGCTTGGACAGAGTAACAGGAGCTCACTCCATTGCGGGGATTTGAACCGCCGACCTTCCAATTGGCAAGCCCAAGAGGCTCAGTGGTTTAGACCACAGCGCCACCCATGTCCCTATGGTACAACTAAAACAATTGCATAAGAGCGCACACCTGGAAAAGGGTCCAGTGTCCGAGCTTTTATTGTATTTATTTTATGTTTAAAAAGTAAGTCTCTAGCCCTCACGGAAGGAAGGCTTTAATGCAAAATATGCAGTGTGCCAACCTGACCACAGATACAATTTTCCTGAAGTTAAGGGGCACAAATTCCTTCTTGCAGAGCACATTCAGAAGTCAGAAATGCCCCTCTACTTCCACTCTGTCTATGAAGTAATCTCCCCCTCTTTCGCTGAGGAGGGAACTATGAGAGTAGGTGCAGAAGGGAGTGCGGTTCGCAGCCAAAGGCTTGCAGATTACACCAAACTGGTTTAAGAAGGATATTGACAAGTTGGAGTGTGTGTAGAGGAAGGCGACCCAGATGATAAGTGTCTGGAAACCAAGACTCATGAGGAATCCTTGAAGGAGTTCGGTGTGTTTAGCTTGGAGAAGAGAAGGCCGAGAGGTGATACAATCGCCATCTTCGAATATCTAAGGGGTTGTCGCATGGATGATGGAGAAAGTTTGTTTTCTGCTCCTCCAAAGATTAGGACCCCAACCAATGGTTTCAAATACAGGCAGGGAGATTCTGACTAAGCATTAGGAAGTTCTTACAGTAAGAGTTGTTCAACAGTGGAACGGACTCCCTCGGAAGGTGGTGGACCCTCCTTCATTGGAGATATTTAAGCAGGCGATGGATAGCCATATGTCAGGAATTATTTAGCTGTGATTCCTGCAATAGAGGACTGGACTAGATGACCCTTGGAAGGTTGTATGATTCTATGTACCAAACCCTTCTTTTTCTTCTTCCCTTACCTGGCTGCAGGTATCTTGCAAACGCCAGCTGATCAGGAGGTCCTCTCTGCATGAGGTAGGAATCGAGCCTTTAGCATGGCAGCACCTAACCTTTGGAGCTCCCTGCTGTTACATATTAGACCCGTGCCATCTCTACTGCCTTTTTGGTGCAAGTTGAATACTTTCTTCTTCCAACAGCATGCCTATTATGTCCTCCCCCCCTCCCTTTCACATGCATTGGATTAGAAATTGGATTTATATGTGGTTTTTATTGCTGGTGTTTTGATTGTTAATTGCTTCAGAGTGTTTCATGGGAAGCAGCTCATAAGTGGAAACAATAGCAACAATGGTTGTTGACACAACAGGAACAACAACAAATACAGTGTTTGATTCATTCTCTCCAATAGATGAGCAACTTGAATACAATAAAGTCTGTCTCTTATTTCTTCCACTCAAAAGGCATTGGATGTTTATAGCAACATAGTATGACAATCACAGCCCCTTCCTTGTCTGCTCTGAGCAGGGCCGTCTTAGCCATAGGCGCTAGGGGTGCGGGGCGCCTGGGCGGCGGGCTCTCAGGGACG